CTCTGGTGAAGCCTCTCACCATCCCTGAGCCTCTGGCCTGTACCCCAGTTCTGTATGCACAAATAAATAAATCTTTAAAAAAAAAAAGATAAAAAAATAAAAATAGGAATACCTGCCATAGTGCTAAAGGAAATCTAAAAAAATACTTCTAAAGTCCTAAAACGAAATATGAAAATATCTTGACCTTATATAAGGAATAATTTCTTAAAACAAAAGTGGTAGAAAAAATTCACAGGAAAATACAACTTCAAAAATTTAAAAGACAAATGTAATAAAACAAGATATAGAATATTTTTTTGTGGAACATACTGGATGAGATACTCTTCACAGAGAAGTATTTATCTAGAGCTGAGACTGCAGAATATAGAAAGTGTATCTCATCCAAAGAGTAAACTAACAATGATCTAAAAAATGATTATTGTGGTTACATGTATTTTCAGATAAGCCTCCAAACCTATTTTTTGTTGCAAAGTAAAAACATAATGGATAACAAAACCATTTTCTTACTTTAAGCCAGCAGTATCTTACTAAAATTTTTCTAAAAACCTTTAAAAAAACCGGGCTCTCCCTGGTGGCGCAATGGATTAAAGCACTGTATTATGAAGCTCTTGAGTCCACTGCAGTACGAGTTCAATCCCCAACCAAGGAGCCGAGTGACCCACATGGTGTGGCAGACCATTTCAGACCCGCCTGCTGCTCCCCTCAGCAGTGTATTTCAGTAGATCTGCCTGTTCTGCTCCCCACTTTGTCTCTGGTGAATCCTCTCACCCACCACACCTCTGGCCTGGACCCCAGTTCTGTAAGCATAAATAAATCTTAAAAAAAAACAACCCTATCTTATAAAACATACTTTCTGTGAACTAAAAATACAAAAACTAAAAAGATAACCACAATTTTAATTCCAGATCATCTGTGCTACCATTTGAAGCACCAAATATACATTTTCATCTCTTCAGTCAGGTAAATAAAAAAGATAATTGAAGAAAAGAACTTCTATTTTCAGTTATGATGAAATAACACAGACTAGATATATTTTCCCAATTAAAGAAAACTAAAACAAGAGAGGAGAAAACACACCCTAAACACTTTTTCAGACACTGAGCAAAATGCAACATGGTAATGGGAAAAAAACGCCAATAAGCTCTAACATTACCCCAACTTGTTGCCTGGAGAGTTTCCAGGCTACTGAGTGGGGAAGTCAAATAGAGCTCAGACTCCCTGAATTGAAGACATATGAAAATCTGAGGAAGGGTATGTAGCTTAAATACACAGTACATTCTTTGTGAGAGAGAGGACAGCCTTATATGGAGAGGTTAAAATTACAGAGAGAAACTACTAAGATTTAAGAGTACCTCACATCCCCAAGACTTCGATTCAGTACTGATCAATACAAGCACATGAGTGAACAAAGGCATGGTAAAACATCACCAAATTAGGAAGGAAGATCCATCTCTGGTACTGACACATAATCAACAGTCAGAGTGGTAACACGTGGGTCAGTACAGAGGGTTTTGGTTACTGTGCCTCACTAGTGGGTAAAATAAACTCTGCACTGAAGGCTGCTTGCATTTTACCTGAAAAGTTTATTGAAGAAACAATAAATGGATAGTTTTCCAACTAGTAAGTGTGGGACCATAAGGTTCAAGAATGCATAAAGAAATGCAAATACAGACCCTCCCTGGTGGCACAACGGGTTAAAGCACAGCACTGAGAAGCTTAAGCCACTGCTGCATGAGTTCGATCCCTGCCTGCCCCAGAGGTGACCACATGGCACAGCAGACCTCTCCTGACCGGCCCACTGTTCCCCTCAGTACTTCGTTGATCTGCCTGTTCTGCTCCCCATTCTGTTTCTGGTGAATCCTCTCACCCTCCACATCTCTGGCCTGTACCCCAGTTCTGTATGAATAAATAAATCTTAAAAAAAAAAAAGAAATGCAAATACATAAAAAATACTCAACAATATAAAATTCACAATTTAGGTTTCAAAAAAGTGATCAGCTAGCAAAAAGAATCTTTAAATGATGCAAATGAAAATATAAATAAGATTAATCAGAATTGATATAACATGGTAAAATTAATATTCCAGGACTGTAACATTTATATAACTAGTATGTTCAAAAAGCTAGAGGATAGACTAAGGGTATTAAAGGGAAAAAATGGAATAGATAAAACTGAAAAATCCATATTCAACTTCCACAGAAAAAGTCTCCATTGAATGAGAGGAGGAACAAACTGGAAATAGAAAAAAAATGAAGTTAAAGACATACCAACAAAGATCATGAAAAAGTAAACAATGGAGGAAACAGTTGAAAGAAAGTAATGATAGGATTAGAACTGTGGGGAAAGTTTAAAACACTCTAATTTTCTTTTCTTAACTATAGTCCCTAAAGAAAAGAGACAGAAATAAATATGTAAAAAAAATAAACAAGTTTTCTAATGTTGATGAAATTTATACATCCAATTTCAAGAATCCTAAATACCCAACTACAAGAACATGCAAAACTAAAATTCATAGTAGCCAAATAATTTAAAACCAGTGGTAAAGAAACAATATAATCCAGTCAACGGTGGGATAACATCTTAAAAGAATGAAAAGAAAAAAACAAAAAAAAACTATCAATCCACATTTCCATAACCACTGGACATACTTCAAACATAAAAGTGAAATCAAAATGGAAAATATTTCATGATTAAATTTCATTAAAGATACAAGATCCGTATAAGAGTTCACTCAAGATGTAACAAATACCATGAATTGCTCTATTATCTATTAAATAAAGTGAAACTAATTAAAAAATCTATCTGAGAAAAAACATTTAAGAAAACTAAACCAATATTCCTTATGAACCTAAGTGCTAGACCAATATCCCTAATTAATATAAGTGTAAAAGTTGCAAGCATAACTTTAGTCAATCGATAAAACAGTATCTTAAAGGGTTAGTAATACTTTACAATAAGTAATATTTGCCCTGAGAATTCCAATTTGATACTGAAACATTTATTTCATAGTAACATTATTTTATAACAATTAAAAATTTCAACATAGCTTATCATATTAACAACTTTTTAGAATGAAGACTTAATAAACACAAAAACCATTTGATAAAATTAAACATCTTTCTGATAAAAATTCACAACAAAATAGGAACAGAAGAGAACATTTTCAACTTCAGAAAGAGTACGTGAAAAAAGTCTACAAGTCAAAATAAACTTAATGATGAACACATTTCTGTGAAATTGAGTACAAGACAAAAACATCTGCTCTCACATTTTTTTTTTTTAAATATTTATTTACTTGTACATACAGAACTGTGGTACAGGCCAGAGGCTCAGGGTTGGCGAGAAGCTTCACCAGAGACAGAGTGGGGAGCAGAACAGGCAGATCTACGAAGTACACTGCTGAGGGGAGCAGTGGGCCAGTCAGGAGAGGTCTGCCACGCCATGTGGTCACCTCCGGGGCAGGCGGGAATCGAACTCATGTGGAAGTGGCTTTAGCTTCTCGGTGTTGTGCTTTAACCCGCGGCGCCACAAGGGAAGGCCACTCTCAATTTTTTATTCAAATTTTACTGGAGGTCTTAACCTCCAGTAAAGAAAAAGTAAAATAATGCATATACAAATTGGAAAGAAGTAAAAATGTATTTGCAGACATAACTATGCACATGTATAAAAAAGTTGCTAGAAATACTGCATATAGTAAGGATGCACAATACAACTAAATAAAAAATTAAAATTAACTTTTGGATACTGCTAAAGACAAATTTGAAATAGGTAAAAAAAAAGCCAGTATTATAAGAGATTTTTTGAATACAAAAAGAAAAAAAAAACCTAAACCTAAATTTAAAAGGAAATGGAACAGTCAAACTTTAAAAAAGAACAGTGACACAATTGACACCATCTGACTCCCAAGTGTTAGGAGACCAAAGTAGTAACCAAGAGTGTGGTACTGGCACTGAACAGATCATCACACAGAACAAATAAATAACCGACACAGATAGTCAATTTATTTTTTAAAAAACGGGTCAAAGCAGTATAATGAGAAAAAGATAATCTTATTGGAAAAATTACATAGTCAGCTGGATAAAAAGGAGCCTCAACACTTGCTTAATACCATGTACAAAGATAAATTCAAAATTATATAGATGTAGCTGTAACAGTACATTATTACTCTAAAACAGCACGTAACTGTATATAAAACACAGATACACAGAAGTTTATACACACAAAATTATGTTAAGAGAAGTATTTACATAAAAATTCTTTACTATTGATATCTAATCCATAATGTATACATTATATGTATTGAGAATATATCAGAGGCCACCTGGAAATGGACATGCAGGGAGATAACTTTGGGGCGTCATAAATATGTTCATTATCTTGATTACTATGAAGATTCATAGGTTAAAATCCACCACCTTTAAATATGTACAGCTTATTGTACATAAATTTTATCTCAATAAAGCTTTAATTTCACATTATCATTATCTGACTGAAATGAAGATGTGCTATAAAGACCTAAAATAAAATAGTGATGAACTTTGTTTTTACAAAATACTCCAAAAATATTTTACAAATTAGTCCCATGAAAATTACAAAAAATATATATTCAAGAAAATTCTACCACTGGTCAATCACTGGGGATGATTCTTCCTTTAGCTTTATTTCCATTACAGTTTGTATTATTTTTGTCAGCAATTTGCTATACTGCTCTTTTATTAGCATACAGTATGAATAATAAGACTACAAAAAAATAAGCCTCAGATCATACCTGCACTGGGGAGCGAATTGTTATCTTCTTACTTCCTTCCACTGCATCAATTTGACAAACAATAGATCTTTCAACTCCAGACTCTCTGTGTCTTACAGTGTAAAGACGTCGTCCCACTTTTGTTAAAGGTATTTTATCAGCAGTAGAGTGGTTAGCAGGTGCTAAATTGAATATAATGTTTGAAAGTTTCTACATGAATAATTATGCACTAAGTAAATTTATATACCAAAAACAGCAAATGATTTCTAACTTGTGAATAACTGCCACTGAAATCTTAGAATCTAAGACTACACAAAGGGATTGTTTACAAGGCACAATGCAGTTCCACAGCATTTATCTTAAAGCATCCTAGCATTTCACACACACAAAAATTTTATAACTGATAAAAACTCATTCATTAGTCTGGCCTAAAACAAAAATACAAACCTTTTGAAAATGACTAATAAAAGGAATTATTATGTCATTTAAAATACTGACCTCTGTTTTGTTGTAACAAACAGAGCCTAGTAATTTCAGTCAGTGATTGCCACGTAGCTGCAATTTTTCAGTTTTTAATTTTTCCTAAACCCGTGGTATTTCATGATATCTGGGATTTGATGAAACATTTTATGTTTTTTCTAATACACAAATTTACAATATATTGGAGGTGAATTATTGATTTACATAAAATCTACTGCTCCCCATTCCATACAAATGTTAATTCAGATAAAGAGGTAAATGTGAATAATTCACTGACAATGCTCAGACAACTGAAACCTACCTATCTTGTTTTGCATTACTCATTGATTAGGAGAAAGCCAAAGCTGTATCTTAGCATCTTCTTTCTATCTAACTAAACCTTTCAAATGCCCTTCCCCAGAATCTGTAAATATTACAGTATCAGAATGTAGTGTGGGAAAGGCTTTGGAACTCTTTAAATTTACAGTAGTTAATTTTATCGTAATTTAAGGATTTATTTACTTTCACCTCTTAAGTAAGTAAAAAACTATGGGAAGCAGAAAATACATAACAACAAACAATTTTCACCTCAACAGGCAGAGCATAAACAACAAAAAAATTACAGTGTGTCATTTTCATGAATTAAAATCTCACTTTGAATTCAGCTACAAAACAGTGGAATTCTAAATTATACCAAATATAGTTAGAGTAATAACCACTAGTAGTCTTAAGAAGTTGAATAAGGCTAAGATCTAATATTTTTTCTTCCCCAAAATATAAAGCAGTAAATTACTAAGTTTTAAATAAAGCACTTGATAAAAATTTGGAATACAAAGATGCAGTTCCAAAGTCTTGCAAAGGCAAACGAAAACTCATAGCCTATTAGTAAAATCAAAAATCTGTAAGATACTACAAATGAGTAAAATGAGATGGAAAGCATAATATGAAATAAAGCCCCAAGAAGGCAATTTATCACTTACTAAGAAGGATGAAGAAGAGCTTGCTGCTTAGGCTTGTCATTGCATTAAAATGATCATTGTCTTTAGTTCGGACATAATCCATACTTAGGCTTTCCTCATTTTTCAATACATATGCTTTTGCCATTGAAACATTGAGTACGCTAAAAGAATCACTTGGTGAAACAGAGATAGTGAGTCCAAGAGAATTTAAAATCATAAATGGCGCTAGGTCCCTTAGGAAAGGAGGCGAAGATCCAGTGGCAGCTTCTGTAAAAGCCTGGTAAGAAAGTGTTATAGTATATAAAGTTAAAGGGGGACAACTAAATGACAAGCAGGACACTAAGGGACACATGACAAACAAAAACTAGTAATACATGTCAGTCAATGAAAAGGTTAACTCGCATTACTATAAAACATTTAGAATTTTAATTTCTTACCTTGGCTAAATTATTTAGCATTACAAGGCCACATTTGGACAATGTGATGTTCAGTTGATCTTTTGAATGGAAAGTGATGACAGTTTTATATTCTGGGACTTTATAATGTTCTTCTTCAGCATCTGACTCAACAATGGCTGTTTTTGCTTTCTTTTTCATCTAAAATGACATAAGTTATAGAAATAGAAGGGAATAAACACATGTCTTTTGCAGGAATATGGATGGAGCAACCAGAATGAAAAAGAAAAATACCACATGGTTTCGCTCATAGGAGTATAAGGGAGCAGGCAAGAAAATAATAATGATAATAAACAGCTATATACCAGAGACATTTTATGGGGGTGAAGTGGTGAATGGGATCAAAAACAGTGGGGAGAGGGTGATGGCATGTGGGTGCTTTGGTGATGGGAAGCCCACAGGGATTACAACTGAGATGGGAAAATGCACAACATGATGTAAAAATAAACTATTATTTATTTTTAAAAAATGCTTTTCTCATAAAATACTTCAATAATGAAAAAAAAATAGAAGAGAAATTTGCTCCCAAGAAAACAATATTACTCATTTGGACTTAAAAGCCCAACAATGGTGACAGAGAGGTGCCACCCGAAAGCACTATTATCTACCTTGTTTTAGGAATCACAGATCTAATGGTTTTGACATCTAAAAATAGTCAGAAAAGCACATGACTTTTATCTGAAATACATGGAAAATGAAATTTAATAATCTACTGCAAAAGGCTGTTTATACCATTTCAGATACCTTTGCTGTTACATTAATTTGTTTAATCCTACTGAATTTTGTAGATCAAATGAAACATTATTAGACAATATTTCTACTGCATTCTGCTTAAGCAGCACAATTCCATTAATCTAAAAGTCCTGATTCTCATAGTCACAATTTCATAATATATTACAAACAGTAATGTACCTACATGCACATGTTATATATGTTTATATGATACATAATGTGCATTGCTGATACATATATGTATACACATATAACCTTCAGTGGTGTTTGTATCCTTCAGAGAACAAAGGAAACATAGGATAGACAACACCTATATGAATGCTAGAGCTGCTCTAGCATGGTAGCTAAGAGTGAGGACTTGCACCCAGGTTGTATCCCACAACTTCTACTATGAAAGAATTATTACTTTGGGAAGTCCCTAAACCCTTCTGGTCTCAAGCCATCTCATGCTATTAAAAACTTTATCTTCTTCTGCAAGTGGTTATAGATTTATTAGACACCATTCCAAATAGTGTTTAACACCACATCTAACATACTGAATGCCAGTCACATAATTATAAGCAACAAAAGTAAACATAGGTATTGGCTTGGGTTTAAAGATCACATTCAGAGGTCAAATAGGAAAGCATAAAGCAAGACGCCTAAGACAAAATGTATTTTGCTGTGATGAAGTGTCTCATGAATGGTGGATATCCTCAACTATTAAAATAAGTTTCCAGACTACAAAAATACCTTGATTCCAAGATTCCATGGCCTAAAGTCTTCAGACTGGTCAATTTCTAAGGGTTCAAGCAAAGGCTCCCAAACACCAAACATTTCATTGTAATAATGCACCTACAGAAAGAATTTTTTTAGTTTTTAAATAAGGCAATTTGATAATTTTTAAAATGGTCTCCCAAGCTTTCCCATCCCCATGCCTATCAGCTGAGTCATTTCTTCTACATGGAAACCACCCCCAAAAAAGTTTTAAACAATTAAAAACTTTGTCTTATACTTTTATAGAATGCAGATAAAAGATTCCATTTTAACTCTTAAAAATATTTTCAAGTTAATAAATTATCAATCTGGAAATTGAAAAATCTATTGAAATATAAGCTTAATATGTATATGTACTCTAAAAGTAAAAACAATATACACATATGTCAATTGTAACAAGGGCATATGTTTGTAAATTTTCTTGTAAATATTTTTTATCATATCTACAGTAATCTTAACCTAAAAAATTTCCCGAAATATTCCATGTGTAGTTATCACCTGTAGAGAAACTGAGAAAACACTACATGTGCTTACTTCTAGCTCAAGCTGACAGTGTAGATTTATTAGGGTACTCCAGTTTTTGCCTTCCCCTGAAAAACATGACTTTGCTAAAAGCATAGGCACTGTTCTGTGACCAACTCCAGCTTCAAGAACTATAAAAATAGAATCAATGTTCATTCGTATTATCTCTCCTTTGGGCACCAATTCAGTTGTTTGGGCTACGTGTTCAACTTCATTTGGCTCTTCCAGAAACCACATTTTTAAATTCTTGGTATCCTTCTTTTCCCATAACTGTGCTGTAGAAGAAGCAGTTTCTTTTGGGAGGGTTTCCTTAGATGTATAAAGTGCTGAAGTTATGGTAATCACAGTATTTATAATAACTGGTGAAACCTAAGGGGAAAAATTTAAACTAGTAAAAATTTATACATATGACTTTTAAAAATAGTTCAAAAATATTGAGTGCATTTGCTGAACAGTCACATTAATAAATAATATTACGGCCCTCCCTGGTGGCGCAGCGGGTTAAAGCACTGCACTGAGAAGCTAAAGCCACTTTCACATGAGTTCGATCCCGCCTGCCCTGGAGGTGACCACATGGCGCGGCAGACCTCTCCTGACCTGCCCACTGCTCCCCTCAGCAGTGTACTTCGTTGATCTGCCTGTTCTGCTCCCCACTCTGTCTCTGGTGAATCCTCTCACCCTCCGCATCTCTGGCCTGTACCCCAGTTCTGTATGAATAAATAATTCTAAAAAATAAATAAATAAATAAATAAATAATATTACTTCCATGAAATAGTAGATACAATTTATTGCATTAAACTTTTTAGATTAATATAAATTCAATTATGATAGCATTATATATACCTTGTAAATAATGTGGCAAACTGTTTTCAAAACTATAGCTTCTTTAAAAAAAAAAGATTTATTTATTTATTCATACAGAACGGGGGAATAAGCCAGAGGTGCAGAGGCGGTGAGAGGCTTCACCAGAGACAGAGTAGGGAGCAGAACAGGCAGATCGATGAAGTACACCACTGAGGGAAGCAGCTGGCTGGTCAGGAGAGGTCATCTCTGGGGCCGAGATCAAACCCGCACTGAAGCGGCTGCGGTTAGCTCGCAGTGTTGTGTCCTAATCCTTTGGGCTACCAGGGAGGGCCCAAAACTATAGCGTCTTTTTTAGTTTAATAATTAAAAGACTTGTGGTAACATTACTTATTCTTAGTTTTATTAATTTTTTTAAAAAGCACACTTAAGAACTGAATAACTGCATTTTACCTTTAGTGTCAGGGATTTTACTGATATATCAATCACTTGTGGATCTGTACCAATTTGAGTAGCTTGATAAAACAAGTCACAAGGCTGTAAAACCTGAGATAGAAAAATCAATAGCACTAAATTAGCATTGTTCTTAAAATATAATTAGAGACTTTCCTAGGAGTAACTAATATGGAAATAAACAAGTTAACCAAAGTAGCTTTAAAAAACATGTAACTCAATGGCACATCATAAAAGAAAACATCAACCCAATTAAAAATTAGGCAGTAGACCGGAACAATTTTTCAAAAGAAAATACACAGAAAATTAACAGATACGGGGGATAATGCTCATCTTTTTAACTTTTTGTTATTTATGCATACAAAACTGGGATACAGGCCAGAGGTGCAAGGGAGATGAGAGGATTCACCAGACGCAGAATGGGAAGCAGAACAGGCAGATCAAAAAAGTACACTACTGAGGAGAGCAGCGGGCAATCAAGGAGAGATCTGCTGAGCCGTGTAGATCACCTCTAGGGCCAGGCTGAGATCAAAAGTACTGAATCAACTGAGGCCAGCTTCACCAACTGTGATGCCATCAGGGAGGGCCCTCATCATCATTTTTAATAAGGGAAATGCAAGGTAAATTCAGAAAAAGATATCTTATACTGTGAGAATGACATATACCAAAAAGCACCCCCCCCCCCATGAGTGCTGGAAAGGGTACAAAGGAAAAAGGCAAAGCAATACATTGTTGTTGGGAATGAAAACTGGTGTAGCCACTCTGGAATGCAGTCTGAACTTAATCTTTAAAAACTAAAAATGGAAATACCTTGTCATCCAGCAATCCTTTATCTAGATATCTATCCAAACAACAAAAAAAATAATTTGAAACACCATAATGTTTATTGTAGAATTATTGAGAATAGCTAGGATTTGGAAGCAACTTAAGTACCCACTAATAGAAGGCCGAAGTAAGAAGGTATATTATATCCACACAAAAGAACATTATTCAGTTATAAGAAGAAACAAAACATTGACAATTAAAACAATGGAAAGGCTCAATGAGATTGTACAAAGAAAATATGTCAGAAAAATAAAGACAAATACTGGATGAAGATGCATATGAGTAATATAAGAAAACAGAGCAAAGTATTTACAAACTGGTAGATACTAATAACTATAATGAGGTTTCTAAGGTTAAGACGGAATGGGATGGTACTGGAAATTCAAAATTTCCTATTGAAAAACACACGCAAAATCAAGTGAACTGACATATTACAACATTCTGAACAAAAGAATGTGAAGAGAAGGGTTATCTGAAACTTCTAAAAATGACTATACCTTTTCTCTTATAAAGTTCTCTCATTCTAAGCACTGCACTGCTCACTCCTAACAAATTGCAAAGGACATATATCATATACTACCTTTGAACAGCAGATTAAGGTACATCCTATGGATAGCAGAGAAACATGATTGAAAGAGCTTGTTTCCATTGTTATCATACAGTAATATACAGGTACAGAGAGAGTATTGTAATTTTACCATGCTTTAGTTACCTTTCAGGAGTACCAATGGTATAAAAAACTACTAATATCCTAAATAAGAGAAATTTGGAATTGATTTAGCAATTGGATGGACAAAAGATCTTTCAAAATACAGAGCTGATAACTAACAATGCTATAGAAAATATTTAATAAAGCAGCTACTGGCAATATCTTGAAGCATATCACATATATACTTCAAGGAAAAAAATCTAAAATTTTAGCCTTATTGGCTTGGAACATCTAGAATATTGCTGTGTATTAGTTCCTTCTTTCTGCTATTTGCAGAGTACTATAATTTATAGAAAACAATGAGGAAATTCATGTTCTAAAGACGAGTTTCAACAAAAGATAAGGACTATGGTTACCATCCTTATTCTGAAAATTCTTAACATCAATACTGGAGCCAGTCTGTGGCCAAAAAATAAGTTGTGTTACTTCTCTTCCTTCCACAAACCTACTATTAAAGCACCCATTATCAAACTATCAAGGTGAAGTGAAAATAGGCAGAACACAGAATAGTAAATAAAAGTTTTCTAGTCAAAAATAAACCTTATGGAACTATACAGATGCATCTGGCATGCAAAAGCTGGTTAACATTTAACTACTAAAGCAATTTCCTAGTATCCAATACAGTAGGAAGTAAGCTATGATAACAATGCAGTTCCCAGGGGGGTTAAAAAAAAAAAACCCAGTATCTCTCAAGATGGTATCCGGGTCAGGGTAGTAAATGTTCTGCCCTGAGAGCAAACTTAGAAGGCTGTAACATGGGCCAGACCAGGAACCTTATTCCACTGCAAGAGCTTCATGTTTTCTTGATTCCAGCCAACATGATATGGCAGTTGTTATGGATCAGTGAATAACAACTACTTCTATTATCATTTTTTCTTTTCCTAAATAGTTGCTAAATTCCAAGCATATTGATCTTTTATCACCATTTATATAGTAGTCCCATTTGTGATGGTAGAATGTATATCTCTGAAAAGTAGTAGGCAGAGATGACCAAGATATGTCACATGTAGACTCAACAAAAACAATCACCTAAAAATTTTGACCTGTGTGCTGACAGAACGTCTCCTAATGTGTTGTATAGATGAAAAAAAAAAAAGATTTTTTTTGAGGACAAAGGACGAAATCTCTAATGGATGGTGGGAAGATGCATAGTTGCTAACTGCTATCTGTTTCTCCTCTTCAGAGTAATGATAGCTTTAACTGAACACACAGTAGCTCAGAGAAAATCTCAATTCTCCAATGTTCAAGTCAAAAGGATGTGAATAGAAAACATATATATGTAAGTTTTCTAAGGCATAATCTAAGAGATTATGAGTATGCCCTCTATTTTTCATTTCCTGTTCTAAGTGGTCTGCCATCACCCTTGCAAACTAGGGAAATAGTCTGTAATATTATATGTCCTAGGCAATACATATATATTTACTTCTAACAAAATTATACAGTAGCTCATCTTTAATACATTCATCCTTCTATTACCTACCTATGAAACTAAATACTTTCATAAGTATTTGATAAAAGTGTACTAGAAGTCAGATAGCTAATTTGAAAAGTTATCTTGATGAAATGAACTTTAGGAAGACTTACTAAGAGGAAGAAGGCTGAGAGAATAAGACACAAATGTGCAGCATGTCAAAGCAAATGGCTAGTTTAGTTGTTCAAACAATCACATGGAGAAAAGTAAAAACAAATTATCTGAGAAATATGCCCACAAAGAAGGAAAGTAACAGACAGTAAAACTGAAACAACATAACAAAGAGCTGATCTTAAAGGTAAGAGAGTTAGTGTGGACTTGACATGTGTAGAAAGTCAGTGTGAGAAACAGCAAGATATAAGCAACTTCTTAGAGGAGATAAATAAAAACATTGTAGAGTTAAAATGAATAACAACTGGAAGAATGAAAAATTGGTTTCACAAAAATCTAGATTAGGCTCCTGAAGTAGAAAGTATTTTACAGAGTAAGATTAGAAAATATGTAATTAATTTGCTAAAATAGTATAAACTAAGTTCCAAATAGCTTAACATTAAACAGACAATTAAATTGTAAACTCACAGTAGTGACTTTGCCCTTTCTTTTGACTGGAAGAAATGGGCATGCTCTCATTTGGAGATCTTTAATGGCAGCTGTCATTATATTGTTTTCACTGTCTCCTTTCCAACAAATTTCACATTGTGTGGTAATGACTAAAGCAGGAGCATCATTTCTTGTCATATCAGCCACAAACACAATTTCAGGATTTTTAATAAGAGTATTAATTTCCCACTTCTCTAACTGCTGTACAGGCACTAAAATAGAAATAGAATACATTTAATGTTTTAATTTATGTTATGCCTATCTTTACAAATAATTTGTTATTTATGTGAAAATTATTTGCATTATTTAAGTAAAAAGTAAAAGAAAAGAATCTTATTCTCAAAGCAATCTTGGTAAAGACTTAAGCCATTATCAAGGATATTTCAAAATGTGGGTAAAACCTCCATTATTTAAAGCAGATACACTATTTTTACTTATGAAAAGAATAGTCTTATTTTATTTTCTTCAACAAATTCTTTCAAATTACTGACTACAAAGATACAGGAACATACTCCAATGATGGTCTCATATTTTTTAAGCCAATATATATTAACACCATGAGAAAAGTGTAAAACTGCACAATCTAGAAGACTGAATTTTCCTCTTACCTCTGAAAAACCAAGATTTGAATTTACTCATTTACTTAATTTTACATCCCATTTCTAATCAAGATTAAGTGCTAGTGTACTCTTTCCATACAATGCTGCTAAATGTTTTAGCCAGTAACTAACCTTCTTCCTTAGTAGTCCATGCTTGCACATTGGTTTCTATAGCCATGCCTGTGGTGTAGGCCTCAAGGAAGACATTTGCAACTGTCAGCAGAAATTCCACACTTGCACAAATATATGTTTCTTGAAGGACTACATCAGTCACACAAGTATCTTTAATTCTCCTGTATCTTACATCCATCATGTCCTTTTTGTCAAACCCAACTGTAAGTCCTATCATTCTGAAAAACACAATAACAATCCCTATGAGTAGCTTACAAGTAATTAAACACACCAATAAACTCAAAGATCTCTTATCCCTTTCACTGACAGCTAAACAGTATTTTTAAGCCATTCTCCCAGGAAGATCACAAAATCCTCCAAATAAGACTTACAAACTTCTGGTGCACAATTTTTATAACTTAGGATGCAAATCTTTAAAAAAGTGTCAGAATTTTGATCTCAGCATATTTCTTATTCTCAAGTATTTATTTTTCCAATTACAATACATATGAATTAATGAAATATTAGATAACATAGATTTTAAAATAAAGTTAACTAGACTAATTATCTCTATTTAACTAATACTTCAACCACCCAAAAAGAATAGCACATAACTAGACCAGGAGATTTTCAATGCTGACTGAGGTCCATGATTCAACTGAGCTGAACTTCCAATAATCTTAGGATGTACCCAGGAATGGATATGCAATTTTGGTAAAAAGTTATATAAAAATATTAATAATATACACTATACCTAGGAGTTGCCTTCTTGACATGAGGTCTTTTATCATCTAAAACACAGTTTTTTAGTAAGAAGGAAGAAGATATTGAATCATCTGTATACATTTTTAAACTACTTATAATATTCTCCATTTTAAATTCAGCAAGTTTCAGAGAAGGATCACGAACATCTGTAAAGGAAGTCTATGGAAGAAGAGATACAAGTTTTTAACAAAAATGCAAGTCCAGTGAATATCTTAAGACATGAACTACCACATTATCAATATCTCCAAAGGTAAAAAAAAAAACAACTTTAAAAGTTTATTTTTATGTTCCACATCACTGGCTGTAGGAAAGATAAGCAATTCAAAAAGAAGAAATAATGACATTTTTATTAAAGTGAGAAAAATCAATGATTATTCTCAGAGGAACAAATACTGTAAAATATACACGAAATATAAACAATTGTTATTTTAATGAATGTCATCATCTGCTATGATTTTCATCAAGTAAAAAATATTTTCTTCCTCAGCTTACCTGGTCAGGATTTGGACTGTACAGTACCATGGTGAGATAATCACTTCTGAAGCTCATGTTCAGTGTTGTCTTAATTTGAGAGGCCTGTGAATGTACTTCTACCACGGCAGCTGTGGTGACAGTTGTTCCTGGGAAAAATTGAAAGTTATTGGATACAAGAAAAAAGAAAATCAGGAAGGGGCAGATTAAAAGAGCTTTGAAAGTGACTTAACAGAGATGTCCCCAAATTATATTTTGTGCCATAGTATACATAGAATAGAATTATTATAAAAACAAAGCAATTTTGAATTCTCATTCTAACTTTAGCAGTAAGTACCACCATACCAGGTGGCTTTTTTCAAACTGAAGTAAAATTTACATTGGTGAAGCATACAGGTATTATCTGACAATCTGAGATTTAATATAGGTATCAAAATCACCAATACTTCAAGTAAGATAGTTAACATTTAAAACACTCCAGTAAATTCCCCTGTATCCTTTGTATCTCTTTATGGCTGGATTCAATATTCTAGTATTTTGCTAAGAATTTTTATATTGGTCTTCCTAAGTGATCCAGTGTATAATATTGTCTACCTAAGAAAGTATTCTCTTCTACAGTCTCCCAAAGAGTCTGTGTAACACTGGTATTACTTCGAGCCCATTAATAGACACAAGGCTACTTAGTTTCTATATTATCCTGGCTGCTATCTAATTTATTTAATTCTGATATCAGTAATTTATTCTTTCTTATGAGTACTGCTATGGATTTATCAATTTTATAAGTCTCTACAATGAAAACAATGTTGAATCACTAATTTTATCTGTTTATTTTCTTACATTTATACTGGTCTGTAGTACTATCTGCCTTTTATTAACTTTGGTCTTAATTTGTTCATTTTCTTCTTTTTCCTGAGGTAGACAATTGATCTTTTGATATTAAACTCTTATTCTTTCCTAATACATTCCTTCACTACTACAAAATTTATTAATTTGCATCTCACAAATCTTGGCAATGTTCTATGTTCATTATCTTTTAGTTTAAACAAGCTAGTAAATTCTCCTGTCTTTTTTTCTTTAACTCAATTATTCAGGATCCAAGTTTTTCTTATATCAATATTGATTCCTATTTAATTCCATTGTGACAGAAAATTTGATGGTTCTCAAATTGGTGTACCTGTGAACATTCCAGGAATACTTAAAAAACGTGTATTTTCCAGTTGTTTGTACAGTATTATATTAATATCCACTTAAGTGTTAAAAGTGTTCACATATTCTATAGTATAGTCTTTCTGATTTTTTGTCCATGTTTTATGATTATTAAGAATGGTTGTTTTAAATTTTCTATGTTGATATATACATATATTTATTCCTTTACTGCTATCAGTTTTTGCCACATATATTTTTTAACTTTGTTACTAGGTATGTACATCTAAGGCTGTTTTATCTTCTTTGTAAATTAGTCCTTTATCTTTATTTTTAATAAAAATCACAAGAGGCATTTATGAGATAAACAGGAGAAATATAAGCTCTAACTGGGTATTTTCATGAATTAAGATGGAGTATTGCTAACATTATTATGCTATGTTTTTATGATTGTATGTTAAAAGATGTTAGTGTTTATAAATACAAATTAAAGATTTAACAGCTGAGATTTATTCTAAAATAATCTAGTAATAAAAGAATGGGAGAATAAAGAGAAAAATGTTATAGCAGTGATAGAGGCATCTACACAATACTAATTATTAAAATGTGGTGATGGGTACATTGTGTGTTCACTACTGTATTCCCTCTACTTTTGTATATGAGCAAAAAATTTCCACAATAAACATATTAAGGCTTCTACTTTATCCGTTTTAGATATTATGTTTGTACTCCCCACTATTTATGTTCTTAACAATGTCATCCACCTATCCTGCCTTCCTTTCCCCATCTTTGGTCAGTTATGTTGTTATTTCTTTGTCAGCAAGATTGGTAACATATACATTCTTATTTAAATAATAATCTTTATATATGTAGACTAGAATAAAAAATTACATACTTTTCAAAATCAGAAGTTTACTGTAATAGTATGACTTTCAATATTAAAGAGTAGAAGTTACATTATTTCCTCTGCTGCTACAATGGCACAGCTACTAGTACCTCTTAAAATAGCATAGAATTTCTTCTTACATATTCACAAAGGATAAAAATCATGCAAAATTTAGTCCATATTACTTCTGCACCAGAATGTAGTCTACAGATTTTTTCTTTTCTTACTAACAGAAACTTGTCTTCCTCTCTTCCATACACTTACATAATAATCTAATCAGTTAATTCCCTATTCTACCTATTTGATAGAATGTATGCTATTTTTAATGTTCTTGCATGTAATTCAGTAGCTTCTTTACATCCAAGAATCTGTGTCATAGTTTGTACTGAAGGTTTCTTATATTTCTTTGAAAAAATTCTTCTCTTCCATTTTCTCAGTTCTTTCTCCTAAAATGCTGGCATGGCATCATCACTTTTGAAAAGAAGTTCAGTTTTATTTGATTTTCCATCTCTGTGCTTTTTTTTCTTGTATATCATGGTCAATTACAATAACTACATATTCCAAGTCTACTTATCTCTAATACCCATGCTTACTGCTTTAGTTTTGTTTCAATTTTTCAAAATTTGTTTCAAAATTTTCTGAGTTCTAAGAACTCTTTCTGATTTTGAAAGCTGAGAAGTAGTGAGAATAGAATTCAGCTCTTCAATTCTTAAAATCCTCGATTGTGGCCCTCTCTGGTGGCGCAGCGGGTTAAAGCACTGCACTAAGAAGCTTAAGCCAGTTCCGCATGAGTTCGATTCCCGCCTGCCCCGGAGGAGACCACATGGCGTGGCAGACCTCTCCTGACCCGCCCGCTGCTCCCCTCAGCAGTGTACTTCGTTGATCTGCCTGTTCTGCTCCCCTCTCTGTCTCTCGTGAATCCTCTCACCCTCTGCATCTCTGGCCTGTACCCCAGTTCTGTACGAATAAATAAATCTTTAAAAAAAAAAAATCCTCGATTGTAAGAGTTTGTTGTCTCTTTGTTTACAATTCTCTTCTACACCTCAATTACTTTGTTTCATTCAGGAAACACTTCTGTTCATATTGCTTTCTTTAATACTTATATCCCTGTAATATCCTTCAAATCTCACATTATTTAATAATAAAAACAGAATTGGTTATTCGAATTAGTAAGGATGTAATATCATCAATGGAGGGTTGTTTCTGTGTTAGGATTTTCCCTAACTAGAAAATCTATTTAATATTTCAAGACTTTGCAAGACTGGTCTTGTGGCCTAGCAGGTTTCACTTTGAAGTTGATACGCTTATGCACCCCAAAATGCCATCATAAAAAACTTTACTGCTGTGTAACAAAATCATTGCAGCAACCCTAACTGACCTCTCTTTATGTGCGGGTACTGAACTTAGAACCCAGTCATGTTCCATAAAGCACAGCTGACACAAGCTATACAACTTCTGTAGACCAACAAATTCCAGATAGAAGGGAAAAGTTTGAAAAATCAATTTCCATTGCTAACTTATGTTACGACTTCCCTTTTTTGTATAATCATAATAACAAAAAATATTCTGAGCAACCATCAGTTTGCAACTGGATTGCCTTAGCTTCATAAATTGGCTACCTGGCCAGGCAAAGTACTAGCTGCCCCAGGGCAGGAAATTCCTCTGTTTACTGAGACAGAAGGCAAGCCCCAGGAGAGATAAGACCCCACGGCATGAAAACTCCTGGGAAGCTTCCTTGTTTTTTTTAAAAAAAAAAAAAAAATCACATAAAACTCCCAGGACATAAGGACCCACGGACAATTTTCTAACATTACTGATACAGGTTTTGCTTAATGCATAACTATGTGACTTCCTCTTAATTTACCCTTTTCTTAAACAATAACTACTCTCTGCTAGTCTTAACTAAACTTTTCCTGCTAGTCTTAACTACTAAACACTAGCTACTCTCTGCTAGCCTTAAGTTAGCCATTAGCTTTTCTTCAGACAACCACTGATGACTCTGCTTAGACAATTTATTCCTTCCTTAGGACCCCTAAATCCTTTGCTAATAGCTTATCCTTTTCCAGACCCCTTATCCTTTTAGTCATAGTTAAACATCCGTATACATGAAAGTTATCACAAAGATGTACAGTCTAGTATGCCATAAAGTGTCAGGAAGAGGATGCACTGTTCCCACTCTTCCTTCAGAAACTTTTACGCTGATTTCTTATTAAGTTACCTGATGTATTACTGTAACTAACTACTTGCTAGACAGTATAAATAAAGACCTGCTAAAAAGATGAGCAGGAAGAATTGCACCCAACTACAACTCCCCTCTCTTCCTTGTACCTGCTCTCCTGCCCCCTCTCTTGGAATTCCTACTTACTGACAACCTCCCACCTTAAGACCCTTTCTGCCTGCTGACAGTCTGTGGTTGGGGCCATGCCAACACACAATGAATCCAAGGCTGGTTGGAACCTCTTTCTCAGTAATGGTTCCTTCTGTCCTATTCATTTATCTTCCAAATATTTGTGAACTCTTGTTATTTACTAATGGTAAAAGCCTTTTGACATCTTTAATATTTTGATACTCCTGATATCATTATAAAATATTTTATCAGGGGCATATACTGCTCTACAATTTAAGAAGTGGAGAGTGGGGGTGAAAAAATTAAAAATAAGGGCCCTCCCTCGTGCAAAACACTGCATAGCACTGCAACGTTAGCCACAACAGCTTCTGCTTGAGTTTGATCCCTAGCCAGGGAGGTGACCCACAAGGTGCAGCAGACCTCTCCTGTCTTGCCCACTACTCCCCCTTAGCAGTGTACAGTCAATCTGCTTTTTCTGTCTCTGGTGAACCCTCTCATCATCCCTTTATCTCTGGCCTGTACCCCAGTTCTGTATTCATAAATAAATCTTTAAAAATAAAATAAAATAAAAATTAAGCCCTATCAGGAAGGACCAAAAGCTCACTAAGGAATTTTCTAAAAACAGAATTAGGAATTTTAATCCAAAGGAAAAAAAAAAAAAAGTAAGATAGATCATTAACATACAATAGATCTTATTTTATCCAAAACTAGAGGGAGAAGAAAGGAGCAAGATGTATCTATGTAGGGAGGAAGCATAAAAAGGAGGAAAGAATAAGGAACTCATTTCAAGTTAAGAACATACCTCCAGCATGGTGTGAAGCATTGGTAGCTCCACTGGTAACACTCCCTTGATCTTTTATTCCTGCAGGTGAAGCACTATGACCTTCTTCATACCATATATTGCCATTTAATGTTTTAAAAATAGTTGTTATATCTTCTTGACTAAGAATGAACTGTTAAAAGAAAAAAGCTTTCCTCATTTTAACATTGCTTCATGTAATTAAACATTTTCATACAAGAGAAATGATACTCATTTCAGCACTCCACAAAACCAATTTTTAAAGCAGTAAACATTTCTAATTAAATATACAATTATCTAAATGACCATTGTTACCTTTAGTATTTGTGAATACAGACTACGTTAGATGACAAACCAAAGTTATAAATTATAACTTTTCTTGCTATGAATGTAGTAACTGATTATTTTTAATGTATAAAATGAACTTTTTATTTATGTATTTAGCTACCTTTTTTTTTCAGTAAGCACCTGAATCTATAAATATAGAATAAAATACATTGTATTTGCACAATGAAAATAGTGACAATATGTTTTCCATGAATTTTATGTCAACTTGAGTGGGCCATAATATCTAGTTATTTAGCCCACTATTCTTCCAGATGACACTGTGAAGAGATTATTTTAGATGAGATTAATATTGAAATTAACAGAAATTTTATAAGGCTGATTACCTTACAATCCAATCATTATTATCTTCATCCAATCATTTGAAAGTGTAATATAAAAAAAATTATTTTCCCTGAGCAAGAAGAAATTTGCCCACAGACTGCTTTCATAATGAGCTGCAACACCAACTCTTCACTGTCAGCCTACCCTGAAGATTTCCAGCTTGCTAGCTTCCAAAATTACACAAATCAATGCCTTAAAATCAAGCTCTTTACACAGACAGGTCATTAGAGAGAGCTGCAGACCATCTACAAATGTCCATGTGTCTTCTGAGACAGGCCTAAGAGCATGAAACTGAGTCTTCCCCTACCTGGTCAACTCAAGTAGCTAGCAACTATTTTAGCCCACCTTGGCAGATTACCTTATTTGACAATCCTGGACCTCATCCTCAATGGCAAGAAGCAGTCTAATGAATCCAAACTAACAATATATACACCAAATATGCAACCATATATACAAACTACTGGTTCTGTTTCTCTGTATTCCTAATACAACAGTAATTAAGTAAAGGGAGAGGAAGAAAGCAGGGGAGATAAAGGAAGGAGGCAGAAAGGAAGACAGGACATATGAGTTTAAATTGGTATCTAATAACCTCAAAGGAACAATTTTAATCCCCCCAAACTTAACTGTTTTATTTTACCAGGCTTTTTTAGAACACATTTACAAAGTGATATACTGATACAGCACTTTAGGATTAAATCTACACATACCTTATTCATGCTACTTATGTTTGGCATTTTTTTAAAATTTTTATTTATTCATGACACTTTGTGGTTATGCAGCAGGCACAGCAAGAATAGTGTTAACAAAAATTAGTTAAGTTGAAATTAAGTATTATGACGTTTAAATCACTTCCTCAATTACTGACTGATGCCTGTCACATACACATTTTTTAAGGCTTATTTATTTTTACATAAAATAAATAGGTGCAAGTGTGTGTGTGAGAGAGGTCTCACCAGAGACAGAGTGGGGAGCAGAAGAGGTAGCTTTATTGAAATACACTGCTAAGAGGAATAGCCCGCAAGCCAGAAGAGGTTTGCTATGCCATATATGGGTTAGTTCCCTGGCTGAGGATCAAGCTCAGTCCGTGGCAGTGATAGCACTGAGACTGACCCCTCCACCAGGGAGGCCTTGCCTGTCGTATACTGCTAATAATGATCGCACTTTACCCTTGCCAAGAAACTCATTAGAGGAAAATAAAAGAACTATCAGGATTGCAGGACTGCTGATATATGGCTTCTAGATGTCACTCTGACTATATATGCTATCCAAACATCTAAGTAGTCAGAACTTACAAGCTGCAGCATTTGGTTTGGTATGCATGAGATTGCTTTCAGCTACTACCTGATGCAGAGGCTGTATATAGGGTCAAATATGTGGAGACCAAATGAGGACCAGAATAGCTGTTCCCTATTCAGCTATCTCAGGATAGTGGAAGACCTAATTTTATATAACCCTGAAGACAAATGGGCATTTGCAGATAGTTTACATTACCTGAACATTCTGCACATATTCTCCATGGAGAAGTATGAAGGAAAATAATGTGCCTGATGCCCCACACAGCTCTGCTTGAAAACTGTATAAAGAATTTGCCAGCATAATGGATGGAAAAGGCTACTTTTCAGCCACAAGATTCTATCTATTGTTTTAATGAACTATAAAGACATTTCAAATATCTTTTTTTTTTTTTAAAGATTTATCTGTTCATACAGAACTGGGGTACAGGCCAGAGGCTCAGGGGTGGCGAGAGGCTTCACCAGAGACAGAGTGAGGAGCAGAACAGGCAGATCAATGAAGTACACTGCTGAGGGGAGCAGCGGGCGGGTCAGGAGAGGTCTGCCACGCCATGTGGTCGCCTCCAGGGCAGGCAGGAATCGAACTCATGCAGAAGTGGCTTTAGCTTCTCAGTGCTGTGCTTTAACCTGCTGTGCCACCAGGGAGGGCCTCAAGTATCTATTTTAAAAAGATACTTAAAAAATATATTTATTTATTTATGCATACAGAACTAGGATACAGGTCTAGGTGCAGGGGCAGTGAGAGGATTCACCAGAGAGAGTGGGGAGCAGGACAGGCAGATCGACAAAGTACACTGCTAAAGGGAACAGTGTGCGGGTCAGGAGAGGTTTGCCACGCCATGTGGGTCACCTCCGAGGCAGGTGAGGATAGAACTCATGCTGAAGTGGCGCTTTAGCTTCTTAGTGCTGTGCTTTGACCCAGTGTGCCACCAGGGAGGGCCCAAGATACTTTCATAGTAAGTCCTTTTTCCTTCTATACACAGAGCTTCTGCTAAGATCTCTATGCTTTAAATTTACAAGTATTTAAACAATTTTTTTTTATATAAAGGTCTGAAATTTTTAACTTTTCTCTTTAAATATAATTTTTATAGGGAGAAACTAAAGGAAAACTGGGGCTGGGTAGAGGATTTATTAAGCCTCATTAAAAAACCTGCCATATGTTGTCATTTCAGCAAAGCACCAAAATAGTTTCTACTTCCGTATAGTCAAGATGAGAAAAATATGAACTGTGGATAGTTCTATTAGAGATCTCTGAAGCAATGTCAACCAATTAGGAGATAAAGTTCTACCTAAGGTATTAACCCATTTGGAATTTTTATCTTCAATCTCTTCATCCCTCTATCATCTTCTCTGTTGTTTCATATATTCCACTGGCTTTGAATCAGCTTTTAGAAACTAATGACACCCCAAGTTATTCTTCCTGAGACCTCTCCCCCAAAGTTCTATTAATATATTCCACTGGATACTAAAAGTACTATATCTAATATTTATTTCCTTCATGGAATTTATCATAATTATAAACATTTAAATTATGTGCCAGTATACTTTCTTAGGCTAGCACAATTTTTAGACCACTATCACCACCAACCTGTGCATTAGGATGGTAATTTCCATGCAATCAAGAGATAATAACATGCCTTCTATGTCACTGTATTTCTGAAATTTACCCTAATCCAGTAAGGACATAATTATTTGTGAAATAAATGGATGGAAAACAGTTATGAATTCTAGGTTAATATAGTTACAACTTCAACTCTGACCAAGGTGATTAACAAGTAACTTTTTCCTTCAAAATGTTTTATGACACCAATGCAGTATTTTCAAACAGCAAAACAGAAATCATGAAGAATACAAAAGGTTACCTCCATGGGCTTGAGTTGAGCATTTACATTAAAACATGGAACTTCCTGATACCAATCCCAGGATAAATTTCGCTCAACAATCACCTCAAGATTTAGTGGCAGCATCAGATCCAAGACATCCTGGTATGTACCATTAGAAAATTGACTCCTGTAAGTAGAAATAAAATTGTTTTGAATTGTTTACTCATACCGTGGCAAACACTGTATGTGTCATTATAAGGAAAGTGATTTTTAAAATAGGGCTTTGGAATTTGTCAAAAAGGGCCAAAAGTATACAAGTTAGATAGTAAACTCCCCAAATAAACCCCTAAATATAAATTATTAATTCACTGATTTAGATATATAACAGAATACCACAAATCCTCTTACTCAGTAAGAAACAAAATGTATTAAGTGAATTTTTTGAGGGTCAAATATAGGGCCCCCCATATTAGAATTTTAAATATCACTTACTCAATTGGACAAAAATATAGGAGATAGCAAAGATCCTTCAGAACGCATAATATTACCATTTAATGAACTAATTATAGATGACACATCACTCATGATTGCTTACAATCTCTACTTAGTGATAATAAGTTAAAAACAGGCCCTCCCTGGTGGCACAATGGATTAAAGCACAGCACTACGAAGTAGTTCACAGCCACTTCAGCAGAAGTTTGATCTCATGCCAGGGAGGTGACCCACATGGCGCAGCATACCTCTCCTGCTTTCTCTGCGGCTCCCCTCAGCAGTGTACTTGTCAATCTGCCTGTTCTGCTCCCCACTCTGTCTCTGGTGAATATTCTCACCACCCCTGCATCTCTGGCCTGTACTCCAGTTATGAATGCATAAATAAATCTTTAAAAAAAATTTGAAAACCCTCTAAGACATATTATATATACAATTACAGTGAGTGCAAATTATAATGTAAGCTATACTATAAGTCACTTAGTAACTTTCTATTATTAAATTTCTAAAATTCTTTACTGTCATAAATATTAAGAAACAATGTTTTTAAAATTACTTCCTTTAAACAATTTCCTTATCAGTATTATCATTTATCTGGGTTAGATATCTTTTCTACATACTCCAAGTAACTCAAATGGTTTCTATTACTCTATTTAAATACTGCACCTTAATAGTTTGTCTTATCTGTAGTTTCAAGAATGAAACTTATTTACCCTATTCTTTGATGTACTTCCATGACATAGGTCAATGACTGTAACAGGACACGTGTACAAATATCTGCTAAACTGCACTCACAAAATTAGATAAACATAAGCAACAATATACAAGAACAACCATCTCTATGCACATGAATGGAGAAATATTAATCATTGGGCAATAGTATTTCTCTGTCTACATTTTCATTACTTTGATTACAAGAGGGTGAAAATTTCTACTAAGTGTTTATTGGCTATTGCTATTTCTATAAAAAATCACCTTTGGAGCAGGGAGAAAAATTATTGGGGCTTTTGTGGTAACCTGGTGTAAAAAAATACATTTGTAGAGGTTTGAACGTAACAACAGCTAAAACCAATACAGTGCTATAAACCAACATTACCTCAATAAAAATTATTTTCAAAAAAAAAAAAAAACCACTTAGTCATGTTCTGTACCAATTTTTCAAATTTTCTTTTCCTTGCTCCTTTAAGTATTCATAAATTTTATCTATTATTAAGTTACTGTCAATAATTTACCCCAATGCATTTCCCTTGTAATTTTATTCTGGTAATTAATATTCAAAAACTTAAGAGTCAAAGTCTCTAATGTTCACTAATTATCTTTGGCTTTTGAAATGTTCTACTATACATAATTCTCTCAAGCAAATTATATTTTACTATGAATAGTGACATTTTGCTTTTACTTATGATGCACATCATTTTTAGATACAACATACCGTCTTCATTCTCTATTGATGTGTACTTAGGTTACACCCAAGTCCCAGTGATTGTGAATAATGCTGAAATAACACTGTACATCATATAATTTTTTGCATGCACAGTTTCACGTTCATCAGATAGATGCCCTAAAGGGGATTTTCCAGGTCTTACAGTATTTTCATTTTTTGTTTAATAAGGTAAATTCAGAGACCACTTTTTAAAATGGTTGTACCAGTTTACATTCCCACCAACAACGTATAAGAGTTCCTCTTTTTCCACAACCTCTCCAGAGCTTATTGTTGGCAGTTTTTTTAAATACATTTCCTCCTTCAAAATAAGTCTGAGGTAATAATTCACTGTGGTTTTGACCTGAACTTCCCTTATTAAAAATGATGATGAATGCTTTCCATATAGCTACTGGGCTTTTGGATATCTTGTTTGATGAGCTATCTGTTCAGATCGGCTGTCCATTTATTAACTGGGTTACTGTTTGCTGCTAAATTGAGTAAGCTTTAATTGCAATTTCTTTCATTTTATACTTTTTTTTTAATTTGAGAAACTTTTTTTTGCTTTGTTTTTATTCCTCTTGCAATAGAAGTCTAGCCTCCAAAGACTCTACCATTGATGCCATCAAACCCATCACCAGGCTTTCTCCTATGTGTTTTATTGTTGGTCTTATACCTATTGTTGTGCATCGAGTTAGAGAGTGAGCAAACTTCATTCTTGTACATGTGGCTGCCCAGTATGGCTATTTTTAAAAGACAGTCAATTGTATGGTTACAAAAACTTTATCAAATATTAACCATTAGTGTGATTATAGATTTATTTTTGGCCTTCTATTTCTACTGATCAACACATCTGTTTTATTCCAATACCATATTTAATTAAAAGTGCTTTCCGGTACTAAAGTTAGATAGTAAGATGCTAACAATTCTTTCCTTTTTTCTCAGGATTATTTCAGCTACTGGAAATCTGTTTCCACATAATTTTGTATTTTTCTATTATTTTAAAGAATATCAATAGAACATTAATTGGGATTACATGAAATCTACATATTGCATTCTGTAAAACTGTCATTTTGATTAGTGATGCTTTCCATCTTTGACCATGAACTGACTTTTCTGTTTTCTTATTCCATATCCTTTATTAAAGTCTTCTAGTTTTAATTTGTAAGGCCTACACCTCCTTGGTTATGTAACTCCTAGGCATCTGATTCATTTGTATGATATTTTTTTCTTTTTCCTCGTCATTATTTGCTGATTTTATAACATGCAAATTGGCTTTTTCCATTTACTGTTTCTAACAGCTATTTGGTAGGGTCTTTAGGGTTTTTTAAAGGTAGACATGTCTACCATTAGTCTTATATGCCCATATAATAGTCTCAATGTATTTTCCAACCTGTTTGCTGACTATAAAAAACAGCAAATTAATCTAATCAGAAGCGATCAGTGAGTCATCCCTGTCTTGCTGCTTATGTTAACCATTAAGTATTATACTGACTGTTGATTTATGATGTCCTGAGTGATGCATCTTTTTATATAATCTTTTCTTTTGTTGATATACAATATTATACTGTTTGATAACCATTAAATCATCCTTACAGTCCTGGTATTTACTCACTTGATCATGATGTATAATCAGGAATTCAATTTGCTAGCATTTTGTTAAAGGTTTTTACATCCATGTTCATTGGTGATAATTGGTCTGTAGTTTTCTTCGCTGTGTGTGTCTGGTTTTGCAAGTAGGGTAATACTGGACTCAAAATGTGTAACAGAGCACTTCAGCAGTTGTTTTTTTTTTTTTTTTTTTTTTTCAAATTTAAGCATGAGTTCTTCTTAAGTTTTGATAAATTTTTATTGGAAAATCATTTGGCCATAGGCTTTTGTTTGGGGGAAATTTTTGACTACTGTTTTAATTTCTGATCACCTTGCCAGGAGATTCAAGCTGAATGGGAAAAAAAAAATGAGCAGTAGGACTAAGTAACAGGGAAGTAAGTAAGAAGGTATATGACAACTTAAGTATTGATCAGAGTTTACTGTGGAGAAAGAAGAGACATAAGTGGCTACTTATAAACAGGCAGATGCAAATCAAAACTGCAAGACATTACTTCATACCCATGAAAATGGGCTAGATCAAAAAGATATAAAACAAGTATTGGCAAGGGTGCAAAGTAAAACAGTTGTATACTATTAGTGGGAATGTAGATTGGTGTGATTATTACAGAAAATAGGATAGAAGCTCCTCGAAAAATTAAAATCTTATCTAACATATGATCTAGCCATTCTACCTATAGGTATCTACTCAAAGAATATGAAATACTGATTTGAAAGCATGTATGAACCTCAAGTTTTTTGCAGCATTACCCACAATAGTCAAGTTTGAAAATAGTGTAGGTGCCCATGTATGGACAGAGAATGATGGTGATGATGTGGTATTTAGATACTGGAATACTACTCAGCTATTAAAAAAGATAAAATATTCACATCTGCAATATGGACATACACTGTGGGGGTTATGCTAAGTGCAGTAAGTCAGTACAGAAAGTCAAATATCATATATTTCACTCATTTGTGGAATACAAAGAAAACAAATAAACAATAAATAAAAGCAAATCCTTAGATTCAGACTCCAAAATGTTGGCTACTAGAAGGGAAAGAGGTGGGAACTAGGAGGAATGAGATCAGAAGTAGGGAAAACTAGATGATGGTGGATGGTACTAGACCTTTGTCCATGTATGAAGCTGTAGTCATCAAACCTGTAATGTTATAAACCAATGTTACCTCAATTAAAAAAAAGTAGTTGTAATAAAATAAAATCTCACTGTAAACAAAACATTCCAGACCATAGGCTTTAATGTAAGGAAAAGATTACCATTCCATGTGAACATACTTGTGGAAAACTTACCTGTATAGTCGCATTTCACTCAGCTGAATTGTTATCAAATCAATAATGGGTGGAGGGTTGCTCTGGCTATCAGTAATCATGTGAAATGTATTCATCATTGTAATCAGTCCAAAATCAGCAACAAAAACATTTTCTGAAACTGGAGATTGTGGAATGACCACAACTGGAGCTTTGATGTTAACATCCAATGCCATTCTAGAACTCCTTTGAGCCAGTTCTTTTACACCAGTAGCAGCCATTCCTGCTGCCTGAACAGTTGCCTCAGCCAAAGCTTCTTTAACTGCTTGAAAATTATCTATAAAAGCCTATAAAGTTAACAGAATAATACTCTTAAGGTTACCATTAATCAATGACACATAGACATGTATATTTATGATTATTTTAAACTTCTGTTTTCTTAAAATGTTTGATTTCACTTGTTCAGTATAATCACTTGTTCAGTATAAGTATCAATATTAATTATTAATTTTCTGTATTAAATATTTAGAAAAAGGGCCTCCCTGGAAGCACAGGGGTTAAAGACACAGTGTAGCTACTGCAGCACTAGTTCTATCCCCAGACAGGGAAGTGACCCACATGGCACAGCAGACCTCTTCTGTCTCACCCATCCTCCCCTCAGCCTGTTCGGTTTCCCACTCTGTCTCTGGTGAATCCTCTCACTACTCATACCTCTGGCCTATACTCCACTTCTTGTACACATAAATAAATAAATCTTTTTTTTTTTAATTATTACAAAAGTTTATTTTTACATCATTTTGCACATTTTTTTTTCCATCTCGATTGTAATCCCCGCGGGTTTCCCATCACCAAATCACCCGTGTGCCACCACCATA